AGGTCTACACATACATTTTATTTTATACATTTGACTTTGGAGTCATGTAAATATTATACATAATTATAAAATAAATTTTAAAATATTTAAATATTGAAATAGTTATCAAAATATTTCAATATGCTACCCACTCAGTGTCTTAACCAGTTAAATGTGCCACATTGAGGGGGTGGCATAACTCCATAGAGGAGAACTATTTCAACTGACTTTAAAACACAAATTTGACTCTACGTATCTTGTAGCACACACCCTAAGGACAAAGATAAATAAATAAATAAGTATATGCACCAATAAAACAACAACTAGCTGCATCACAAAATATCTTAAACTGTTTTTAGTAGCCTTGCTGTTCTTTGCGATGTGGGCGCTGTTCCTCTGAGACTCTGTGTACTGTACACTGAGGGTGTGAATACCCTTATTCTGAGACTCTGCACATTGCATACTGAGCGATCGTTGGTGGTAGGACTCTAAGTTGGAGGAAAGGGGCGCAGTTAAGAAAAGTAAGGGTGAGTGACCACTCCCTGGTTGTCATTTAGAATTGGAAGTTATCACTTGGAACACATGATGTTTTCATCTTAAAAAATAAGTATTTCCTAGCTCTTTACTGTGAACAGGCCCGAATGTGGTGGCCAGCGCAGCAGCAGCTGCCGCCCCTCGGCACCCCGGTCAGGGGGGCTGGACACCCTCCCCCACGGAAAGGACCCAGCACTTTCGGAGACGTGGCTGAGGTCAGGGTCTGGGGCACAGCAGGTAGACAGTGAGCCTGGGCCACCTGTCGTTGCAGAGAGCAGGGAAGTTACGAAGTAAAAATAAAACAGACGTAAGAAAGCTACGAACGGCACCAACACGAAGAGGCTGTCACCTTGCACACGGAAGGCGACCTGCACGCCGTAAGGTGGACGGCTGTGACGAGCCGGAACCGCCAAATCGGTTTAAACGCACACATTTGCGGTGATCTGAAACGACACTGCTCCTTGTTTCCCGAGGGAGGAGGCGAGAGAACCCGCCATCGCCTTGAAAACTGGCAAACGGAGCAAGTCAAACATGGACTCCTCAGGCAACCAGGTCATTTACGAAGGAAGGTTTTTTCTCTCTCTCTCTCTCTCTAGAAGGACAGAAGGCAACAAACGAAGAAGGAAAGGAGGAATGAAACGTCACCGTTTTCACCAGCTCCACACATCCAGAGCACCTGCAGTGACCACACGGGCCGAGCACGCCGCCAAACTCGGGGAAAACCGTCGTCTTGTGCCACCTCTGGGAAGGACGCCATGGGGACCCGTGGCATTCTGGCCAGAAACACGGGCCCTGGGTCGGATGCGGCCACTGGAGTCAACCTCGCTCTCAGGACGCGCAGGGAGGGCACGGGGTGCACGGCCCGCGGCCCGGGCTGGCCCGCCGGCCAGCTACTCCGGACAAACGGCCGGTCTCCTCAGCGACGAAATCGCAGGTTCCAAAAACAGAGCAAGGGGAAAGCAGAGGAGACCACGCATTTCACAAAACTTCAGAGTCCTACAAGTCATTGTAACACAAGCATCTTATTCGAGCAACTTAATTATAAAAAAAATTATGAGAGAAATGACAAATTTGGACACTGGCTAGCTATTGGGTGCAATTAAATAATTAGTATTGAGTTTTAGGTGGGATAATAGTATTATGTGTTTTTTTTAATCCTCCTTCAGAGATACATAATGAAATATTCACAGGTAAAGTGATATATCTGAAATTTGCTTCACAGTGTCGGGTTTGGGGGGAGGGGAGTACAGATGCAGCTGAATTAGCCACACCTTGACCGTTGTTGAACTTGAGTGGTGGGTACATGGAGTTTCCTCACCTGCTTTTGCAAATGTTTGACATTGTCTATGATGGAAAAAAACCCATTATTTTAAAAAGTCATGTGCGTTCTACATTTACTCTTTTTAAAAAAGATTTTATTATTTTTAGAGAGAGGAGGAGGGAGGGAGAAGGAGAGGGAGAGAAACATCAGTGTGTGGTTGCCTCTCACGCACGCCCCCTACTGGTGACCCGACCTGTTCTGCAACCCAGGCTTGTGCCCTGACTGGGAATCGAACCAGAGACCCTTGGGGTTGCAGGCCGGTGCTCAGTCCACTGAGCCACACCAGCCAGGGCTGCATTTGCTCTTATACACTCACACTTGTCTCAATACTAAAATGTAACTTTTTTCCAAAAATCTTTGATGGAAATGGACACTCCAGAGAGAGGTGCCGTGTTTAAGTGTTTGTACACCCACAGCATGAGACCGCCCCAGGCTGTGGGCTGAATTACCCCGCCCCCCAAATACCCACATCCTAACCGCAGGGCATTGTGACTGTTACTCTCACCGCCCCCAGGGGCTTTGCGCATGGGACTGAGTGTTGAGCTCAGGGGAGGAGCCTGGGATTCGCTGGATGGGCTCAGAGGGTCTTTCCAAGAGGCAGGGAGAGGGGTCCGACTGCAGAAGATCAGGGGACAACTGAATGGGGGGGACCAACAGGGGGAATGATGGGACGCTGGACTGGAGCTGAGCCAAGGGGTAAGGGGCCTCCGGAAGCTGGAACAGGCCAGGCAGTGCCTCGCCCCCAGGGCGCAGCACCCCAAAGTTAGTCCCATTTCAGCTCCTGACTTCTGGGGCACGGATCACCAACCGGTGTCGCTTTCGGCTGCTGCGACTGTGGGGATGTGTCCTGGCGGCCGCGGGACACGGGCACACCCCGTTGGTGGACCCTAGGCCCCGAGCCAAGCGCGGAGGCTGCCCCCCTGCCCTGCGCCCAGCCTTCCGCCGGGAAACCGGGCTGCCCGCACCTGAGGCCGAGTGTCCTGAGGCCGCTAACGCACGGGGCAGGGGGCTGGCTCCATCCCGCTCACGAGGTGCGTGCTCTCTGCCTTCCCTAGGCCCCCTTCCTCCACCTTCCCCCAACTGCAGTCTCAGTCTCCACGGGCAGGCACAGCCCCGCGTGGAGAACACCCTAGAGAAACCTGGCTGGTGTGGCTCAGTGGACTGAGTGCTGGCCTGCAAACCAAAGGGTCACCGGTTCGATTCCCAGTCGGGGCACACGCCTGGGTTGTGGGCCAGGTCCCCAGTAGGGGGCGCGTGAGAGGCAACCATTCATCGATGTTCCTCTCCCTCTCGTTCTCCCTCCCTCTCCCCTCTCTAAAATTAATTAACAGATAAAATCTGAAAAAAAAAAAAGAAAAGAAAAGACCCTAGAAAAAGAAGCGCGCCCCCGTGAAAGCAGGAGGAGAAACAGCGCCCCGGTCAAGGGCGCCGGAGGGTCTGCTCACAGGAGTGCGTCACTGTTATCTCGCGGCCGGCCTTCACGCGCCGTCAGCTCTGACTGATGTCAAAGGAGGGTTTTTTTTTTAATCTGTTTTTCTATCAGGGCACGTTCACGGGTATTTTAAGGTCAAGATTCTCATCAGACCAATAAATTCATGTCAACAGTTAGTATTTTGTCAGGGAGAAGTGAAAATTCCCAACACGTGGAGTTAGATTATGTTCGGTTGGAAAGTGTAACAAGGAAGGAAGGCGGGAAGGGAGGGAGGGAGGAGGGAAGGGAGGGGGGGAGGGAGGGAGGAGGGAAGGGAGGGAGGAGGGAGGGGAAGGGGAACTCCAGGCGTCCCCCTGGCTGGGTCCCGGGCACAGCCCCGGCCCGAGCGCCGTCTCTGGGTGTGTCTGGGAGAGAGGAGCGTTTGAATCGGGGAGCGGGGCGAGCAGCCTGCCCCCCGCAGCCTGGCCGGGCCTCACCCCGTGCACAGGGCCTGACTCCAGCACGGAGGCGTCCCGCTGTCTGCCCGGCCCCCTGAGCTGGGCACTGCCCGGCCCCCAGGCTCTCTCTCACGCCTTCCCGAGGACCCTGCTCCTCCCAGCTCTCCTGCTTCAGACGCCGATGGGGCAGTTCCGAGAGCCGCCCCTTCTCACCACCCAGGAGTTCACGGCTTCCTCTCGGGTCAGCGGCGCCGCCTGGTGGTCGGGGACGGGCCCGCGGCAGGCCCCAGACCTATGGGGCTGCAATCGAGCGCAGGCTGCAGCCAGGAGAGGCCAGGTGGTCTGGGCCGGCTGTCTACACTGCCAGCGCCTCGCTCTGCTGGGGCGGTGTAGACCTGAATCGAGAAAGGGAGAACGTTGGTGAACTGGAGGCCAAGGCCCCAGGATTCGTTGTACTTGAACTTCTGAACCCCCAAGGGCTAAATTCCAGGGCTCCCGTCACACGCAGCCCCTCCTGCTGGTGTCTGCGGCTCCCAGAGAAGCCGGGGTGTGACTAGGAGGCAGGCCCCGGAGAAACCCGGGGAGTCCCCGCACGCTGCATCAGCCGAGGGCTGGCTCCCCCCTCGGGCCCATTTCCCGGCAGCTCCTCGGCTCCCCCGGGAAACCTCGGCGGCGTCTGTGCCCGTGGGGCTGGCTGGCTGGCGGGCGGGCTCTTGGAGGCCTGGACAAACCCCGGGGTGGGAGATGCCGGGTTGGGGGCTCCTTCGGTTTCGTTTCCCGGCTCCGTGTGCGTGAGACAGGCTGCAGCTCGGGGCCTGCGTACTCCGCTCCTGCGCCAGACGCTGAACCTCAGCCCGTGACCAGCTGCTCGCCCGGCGGCACCAAACACTGCCTTCCACGGGAGCCGAGGCACCTCAGGCTTCTGTTGTGATATTGTCAACTTCTCACATGTTTAAGGAAAAAGGAAAAAAGAGGTTTTGTCCTTTCGAGCCTTAATCTGCATCCTGCTTCTGAGGGGCCTGGGTGTCTGCTGTGCTGCCCTGTCCTGTCCTGTGCGGTCCTGCCCTGTCCTCACAGCGAAGAGCACCCGCGGGCCCGGCCGGCTCCGGCCTTGCAGCGCTGTTTGTGTTGGAGTCGGGTCAGGAAGGGGCTGGCGGAGCGGAGTGCGCTGGGAGCGCCGAGAGGGTCAGGCACAGCCCCCTGGCCGCTCTCCAGCCAATGGCTCCGGCCCCTGGGCAGCTCCAGACCTGGGGACGAGCAGACACGCTTCGGTGACTTCACAGAAATCAGGGGCCGGCCTCCGCCGGGGACACGCAGCAGCTCCGCCGCATGGCCCCGGGGGCCCCCGACATGGTCAACGGCACCAACGCCTCGGGCCCGGACTACGGCTACGAGTACTACCTGGACTACCTGGACTTCGTCCCCGTGGACGAGAGGAAGCTGAGGGTCCACAAACGTGAGTGCAGCCCGGGCCGGCCGCCGGCCAGGCGGTGGCTACGGGCGCCTGAGGGCCTCCGCCACCCTCCCGGTCCCCTTGTTCACTGGGCGGTGCTGCGGGCGGGTGGGCGGGCGGAGCCTGACCGTGCTCGCAGGGACACAGGTGGGGGCGGGGGTGGGGGGACAGTTAAAGGCCTCTGCCATCTCCTGTGAGACGCCTGGGCTCGCCGCCTGAGCACTCGGCAGGCTCTGCGAGCAGCAGGTGCCTCGCAGGCAGACAGCCGTCTGGACGGGACTGCCTTAGTCCGGGGCTCCGGGGAGTGAGGGGGCGCAGGTCTCGGGTTTTCTGTCGTCAGTGCAGATCGGGGAGGGCGTTATTATCTCTGTCCCCTAAGACGGGTGACTGCGTAATTTCTGTTACAATACCCACTGGCGTTTACAGCCGTCCGGGCCCCGGGAAGGACGGCCCGCGCGAGCTGACCCCCTGTGCTCATCTCCCTGCCGGCCTCCGTCTCTTGGGCAACCGGCCCTGTGTCAACAGTCTTCCCTGGCTGTCCCAGCTGCGCGGTCAAGGCGCTGACGTGCTGTCGTGAGGGAGCCATGGGCATGAGAAACGGGACAGGAACCCTCGGCCCTGGGGCCGTGCTCTGCCCTCCCCGAGTCCCCGTCCCCCGGGGTGTTTCTGTCCGACGGCAAACGCACTCGCCACAGGGGCGGGAGGCTCTTCCTGCAGAGGGGAGGCGTCTGGGGCGTGCCAGCTCCGCCGAGGCCGGGTGGACCGACGCTCCTGGTCACGGAGGGGAGCCAGCGCCCTCCGAGAGGACCCGGGGGGCCACCTAGGCTGCCTGGCGGGAAGAGCTCCTGTCCCCGTGCCACTTGTCACTCCCGGAGGTCACACGCAGGCGCCCGGCCGCGTCCGCTGAGGACTTGCTGTGCCCCAGCCCGTCCCAAGGCTCTCGGGGGTCGGACAGGTGTGGGTGCGTTTTCAGGAGCGAGGTGTCGATCATCGGAGAGCGAAGCTGCAGGTTGCAGCAGCACAGGCCGCTCCAGACCAGGGAGGCCCGGCGAGAGGAGGACCACGGCCGGGCGGGAAGGGGCGCCCTCTCGCGTCTGCTGTGCAGGCTCGGAGCCCCGCACGCGCGCCGACGCGGACGAGACTCGGATCTGCGCGCAGTGCAGCCCCGGCTCAGCTGACGCGCGTGCAGTTCCGCGGCCGCCCCCTCCCACGACCCCGCCCACACTCACGCCCACGCGGGCGCCGGACACCCGGCTCCGCCCCCCAGGCCCCTCCGGCCCCCAAGCCTCTCCCGCCACTGCTTTGGGTCGGGTCTTAGAAACCCCGCTCTCGACCTCTGGCCCCCCCACCCCCCCACCCCACAAACAACGCCCGCCTCTGGGAGAAGTGGCTGATGTCCATGCCGCCGGGGCTGGTTTGAGAAGACTCGCTGTTGACCCGGAGCTGGGAGCTCACAGCCTGGTGACCCCAGGAACGAGGTCATCAGATAAGGCACCACTCCCCAGCCTCCCAAACCCAAGAAGACCCCCTCAGTGGGGACCCTCGCCAGAGAGGCCAGCCGCCCCACCCCCCCAAAATCCTAGACGCTGGGGGCTTTTGCCATGCACGGGGAGCGGCCGGTCTCGGCCCCCTGTGAAGAGCAGCCATCCGTGGGTGCTTTCGCAGAGGTGACCCAAGTCGCACCACATTTCGGGGGGCGGACGAGACGCCTCTCTTCCCCGTCCGCATACAGACGACGAGAGACACGGCATCTGTCGTCCGAAGGCGCCCCCATCGCGCCGGAACCCCAGACTATAAATAGAGTAAACGCCGCGGAGAAAGAGCCGCGGCTTCAGAAGTGTCTCGGTCTCTGCGGAACGTCGTTTCGGACGAAGGCGGAGCGGGGAGCCCCCCACCCCCCACGCACGGCCAGACCCGCAGGCGGCGCCCGCCCGTGAGGGCGACCCGGGCGCACCCGGGTCCTCGGCTCCTCTTTCGGTCCCGGCCGCCGCAGCCGGCCGGCCTTCTCCGGCCTCAGTGTCTGCGCTCGCCCGCAGACAGGACGGGCCTGGGCGGTCCCGCCCGGCGGCAGCACCTCGCGGAGGCGGAGAGGGGGCGTCTGCCCCGCACTCCCGTCTCCGTGCGCCTGTGCGCAGCAGCAGCGGGCCGCGTGGCCGGGCCGCGCCCTGTTCTTCCTGGCGGCGCAGCGCTCTGCTCCTCGGTTCCGCGAGGTGTCCCTCCGCGAGTCTCCGCAAGTTCTGGAAGCGTGCTGTGCGGGGCACCTCCACGGTCAAGAGCCAGACAGAGACGTCTGGACCACTTTTGTCCTCCATATTTCAGTTCAGACGGGTTTACTGGAAAAAAAAAAAAAAGAAAGAAAGGCTAAAAAATGCCGAAACGCAAACATGGACGTCTCCATCACCCGCACCCCACGCCCCCTTTGCCACCTGTCCCTGTTCACTGCGGTGACCGGCGCCCCTGCCGGCGGCTCGGGGAGGTGCTGCCACCCGGCTTGCAGGTGGGGTCAGGTGCGAGGGAGTCTGGGTGGAGGATGGACAGAGGTCGCTCGAAAAAAGCAGGTCACCTTCTCTGCTGACAAGCGTGGCTTCTTCTCCCCACGAGTTGCTCTGGGTTGGGTCCCCCCCGCCCGGTCAAACAAGTCAGGAAGCGTCACCGCCCAGCTCTGCGCAGCCGCGGGCACAGGGAGGACGGGATGTGGGAGCGGTCGGTGAGCGGGACGCTTTCGGGAGAGACAAGGGGGCGAGGCCACCGCCCGGGCAGGGGGCTGGGGCGAGGCAGGCCAGGCCGGCTGCGATCTCCTGCCGAGGAGACAGGAGGTGACAGAGAGAGAGAAGCACCCGGGGCTCAGGTGTGAGCACGCGGGCAGGACTTGGAACGTCCGTGTCTGTGCCCCCGCGGGCTCCGGTCCCTCAGGGTTGGCAGAACCTGGAGACGCCGAGGGCGTCTTCTGTGACACGGCAGAGCGTGCGGTGCAGGCTGCAGAGTGCGGGCTGCAGAGTGCGGGCTGTGGCCTGCCCTTCCCCGGGGAAGGCTTGGGAGCCGGTGGGACTTTGTGACAGGAACTCGGCGAGGATTTTCCCGCTTGCGATTTTCACACGTGGCTGCCGACTGTCCCCTAGAGAGGTCAACACTCTCCCCAGGTGCTGCCCAGACTGGCTGGTGGCCGTTTGACCTTTTATTTGCCCCCTTTTCCAGGGGTTAAGCTCAGGAGAGAACCAGCCGGTTCCAGCCTCACAGCTGCAACGCAGCTTGTCCGAACGGGACGCACCTCCCGGCTCAGCCGACGCTCCCCGCAGGGAGCAGAGACGCACGGACTCCCCTGGGTGGGCCGGGCTTTCCGGCTGCCCCTTCACCTCTCGGGCCAGTGTGCACCTTCTTCCTTTAACTGTGGGTCCCGAAGAACTGGGCGTGGCCCCCACTGGCCCCCACGGGCGCCCTGCCGTGGCAGCTTCAGTGAGGAGGCAGTCTGTCTGTCTGCCACTCCCGGAGCTGCTGGAGGAAGTGCACAGACACCCCCACCCCCCGGGGGATCGCTTGTGAGCACGCGCAGGGACTTCAGTGCAAGACCGAGCAGAGACCCTGTCCTCCCTGGAGCCACCCTGGTTCAGAGTGACCTGCTCTGGTCACGCCCTTCGCCACGACCTCCACTCTTCAGCGCGGGTGCGGCCCACCGGCCAGAGCAGGGGAGGCGACTTTGAGCGTCCAGGAGCATGTTTATTGGAACAAACTGCCCACCCAGCTAGGCCCCCACGGAGGCGCTCTGCTCGGATGCGTCTGCAGTTGCTCAAAACTTGGGACTCTTCTTTCGGAACCGATGTTGCTGGCCATGGCACCCACTATGAAACATTCACGGTGACGTTTCTTTTGTGTATCATATGGCTCTTTTGAGGGCCAATTCAATTTAGGGAAATAGCTAAGAATCACGAATAAACCAATTGGGTGAATGATATTTGTCACCCAAACGCACTGGGTCTCAGAAACAAACTGTGACCTCATAAAGGAGCAACATTGGCGTGTGTCCTTGAAGGTCTTTCCAAAAGAAGAATTTACAAATGTGTATGAGTGTTTGATCAATACATGTATTTCAGGAACACCGGTATGATTCTATGGCAGAGAGAGGATGATTACCCTGAAGGTCAGTGTTCATCCGGACTTGTAAGATTTGGCACGTTCCTTGAGAAAGTCGGCTTCTTCTTGCTGATTCCATGAGGAAAGCTGAACACCATTCACAGAGGACCAGAGGAGGCACAGCCGGCTTCTCTCCCGGGTGAAAGTCTGAAGGGCAGGCACAGGGGTGGCTCCACGACACACTCGGGAACAAGCGTCGCTTGGCTCATTGCTCCGCCATCCCTCGGACGTGTCCCTCTTCCTCACGTTCCAAGCCACGTTCTAGCACCATGTCCACATTCGGGCAGAAAATGTGGTGAGAGAATAAGAAGGGACACAGGCAGTCCAAGTCCAGCCATCTCTGCAGGAAGACTCCAAGAAACTGCCCAGTAACAGTTCCACTCACATCTCATTGGCCAGGACCTGGTCACAGGGCCGTACCTAGCTGCAAGGGAGGCGGGAAGTGGCAGGCTTTGTCCCAGGAAGCCGTGTGCCCAGCGACAGGCAGAGGCTCTGTTACTAGAGAAGCGCCCGACAGCAGACATTGGGATTGACAACTAGCAATCTGTGCCACGATTACTGTACTCATGTTTCACATTCTACTGAGGCTGAAGGACACCGTGATAAACCCTCTTAAGAGAAATAATATCGTGCTATTTATAGACCACTCCACAACCATCAGACAAGGAACTAGGCCAGGTGCGTTACATATACCGATCTTATTTCACCTGTGTAACAGTCTGTGTAACACATACTGTCATCCCCACGTAACAGGTGAGGGGACAGATTTAGAGATGTACCAATGCCAGGCTGACTGAGGTGGCACAGCTAGGAAACGGCGGAGTCAGGATTCAAACCCCACACCGCCCACCGCTGGAGCCTCAGGCCTTAACCCCACGCTGGTCCCCAGGGAGGGGAGATCTCGGAGTTAAGCCTCCACTAGCACCTGGGACTCCATCGTGAGCAGCATTTGGAGGAACGTTAAACCTGAGGCTTTAGCACTTTTCGCTGAACGAAACGGAGGTGCCTACGGTGAATAGGAAGTATTTTAATTGAATTCACTTGCTCACTCCAGGTTTGGAGAAGAAATCCCCCATTGGGACTTGCAGCCCAACCGTGCCATCCAGAACCTCCTCTTGTCAATCCACTGTGGCGGCCACCTTCCCCGCATGCCCCCAGCAGAGCTGGGGAAGGAAGTGGGGAAGGGAGGGTGGGGAGGGGGACAGGGGAGGAGCCCGAGAGGGGGCGGGCAGGAGCGGGGAGAAAGGGTGTGTCCGCGCTGGACCAGCCTCGCCGCCAGCCAGCCCGGTCCCGTGGCAGCCAGCCCGGAGGCCTGACCTGTCCCAGCGCTGATGAGGCCGCCGGGACGAAATGTTCCCTGCGAGCCCGAGGCTGACCCCCTGCAGGGGAGGGAAGGAGCCCTCTTTCTTGGCTGCGTTTTCCAAGTTCTCCAACAGGATGTGATGGAAGAGAACTGAGTACAGGAAACAGCTCCTGACCGCCCTTCTGTTCTGACAAAATTCAAGTGTCACTCGGCCCTGGGACTGTGCTCTGTGACGGGTGCTGTCTCTGGTCCTGCCTGGTGTGTGGGGACGGTGACCCAGGGCAGGCGCAGAAGAGTATCAGCTGGGGGGGAAGGGGGAGGGAGACCAAGGGGGAGCTCTGGACCACCCAGGTGTTGAAGCTACTTCCTCGGAGGTCCCAACAGAACTTATCCAGGCGCCGAAGCCCTGAAACGCCCCCTCGTTCTGATGATGAAGAGCGCCAGTGTGTGCCGAAACCTGGCCCGGCCCCACAGAACCCGCCCGCACACCCCCCCCACCATGTTCTGGAGGCTCACCCCGGGGGCTGCACGTGCACCGTGGCTCAGGGGCGGGCTGAGCAGAGGGAAGCAGGTGTGCAGAGCAGGCGCAGGGGCCGGCGGGGCGGAGGGAGAGTCAGCGAGAGGGGTGCTGGAGGACCAGCTCCCAGCGCACGGTGGCTGTCAGGGCGGCCCAGACAGACTCACAGGAAAGACAGCCAGCGGCATCTTTGGAAAGCCTCGAACTCAGGACAGACCTCGCCACCCGCGCTGGCACTCCCCTTAAACAGTCCCGTGCTCTCGGTGCCGCTGCGGCCCCCCCGCCTGGGGACGGGACGGACAGCCAGCCCGGGCTCTGCTGGCCCTGGCCGTCTGGCTGCTGGCGCACGGGGCGGGGGGGTGGGTCTTCCCTCCTTCCCTGGGACCCCGTGTTGGACACTGACTGTTGGGGTGTGAGGTCGACTCCTACACGTCCTCAGGGGCCCCTCTGCCTGTCCTGGGTCCTGCAGAGCACCCATGACGGACACTGTGCTCGAACCCCCGGTTGGCCCCGCAAGGACTCGCATGTCTCCGACCCCCCCCTTCCCGCACGCAGCCCTCGGCGCCCCCACTTGCTCACGCTGCACAAGCCTCTCTGTCCGAGCAGCACAGGGGTGAGGCCGGGCAGAGCAGCACCGCTGGTGGCCACGCAGGGCTCAGAGGGGACGCTGGCAGGGGAGGGGGCTTCCGGGAGCTGAAGGGGGCTGGGCTGGCCCCTCTGAACCCCGAAGGGCCACTGGCACGGCCTGGCCTGGCCTGGCTGGTGCCTAATGCCCACCTGTGGGGGGCCGCCCTCCAGGGGCCTCCCTCGGTCACACCGTCAGGGCCCCGCGTACCCTGGTGGGGGCATCTTGTCTGGGGCTCATGTCTCTGGGATGACACTATTGGCGACCCCAGTCCTCTGCGCCCACAGCCACCGTCACCCGCCAAGGAACCTGCCAACTGCAGCAGTCCCCTAGCAACTGACGGGCGCATCCCTGCTCGGGGCCGGAGAAAACCCGCCGGGCTCCACCCGGGGCCCGAAGAGGCGGGCGCTTCCCGGGGCTCCCCGCCCGGTCGGCCTCCACCGCACACACAGCCACCGAGGTCGCTGCAGATGTGCTTCCACCCCCCCCCACCCCCACCGCCGCTGCTGCTGCTGCTGCGCCCTGAGGGGGACCAGCTCTGTTCCGCCAGGGGGTGGGTCCTCCACCCCCCCCCGCCCCCCGCACACCCTCCACACTCTCCAGCTCCTGTCCTGCTGCTGCTCACCCAGGGACCCCCCCACCGGCAGCCCGCTCGGGGGAGGGGGTTGCCCTGCCCCAGGAGCTGCCCCTTGCCCCTTCTTCTCCCCCCAAGGCAAAAGAAGGGGAAACTATCTTCACTCTCGGGCACCCCCCTCCCCCCCGGAGCTGTTTACTGCTTCCCCTCAACAGACGGCCACTCTGGACAGAGCCCGTGCTGGCTGCTCCTGTGTCCCAGCAGCCAGGGCCAGCCTCGGGGCAGGCGGGTGGGAGGCTGGGAGGCTGGGAGGCCGGACGCCCCGCAGCACTGGCCCTTCCCCCCTCCATTGGGGGTGGGTACCGGGGCGGGGGGGGGTTCTGCGTGACTCGCTGAAGCTGCTCCCCCCCCCCCCCCCCGCAGACGCCATCACCATCGCCTTCTGGGTGAGCCTGGTGGCCTTCGTGCTGCTCCTGCTGCTGGTCCTGCTCTACGTGTCCTGGTCGGGCTCCCCGCCGGCGCGGTAAGCAAGGCGGGGCGGGCGTGCGGGGAGGGGGGTGCGGTCGCGACCACGCAGCGGCGTGTGCCTCGGCTGTGGGAGGGGTGCCGTGCGACTCGGGTGGGCCTGAGGATCCTGTGCCGAGGGAGGGGGCCAGATGCACGAGGACGCCGAGGCGAGACGCCTGGAGCAGGCGCACCCACGGGGAGAGGGAGGAGGCCGGCGGCCGCTAACGGGTCAGCGTTCCGGGATGGAGGAGACACCCTGAGATAGGCCGTAGCGACGGCCGCATGGCTCTGGACACGCCGGGGCGCACTGGTTCTGCCGGTGAAGGGGTGAACTTCACTGCGCGGGAGCCCTGCCCACGTGCGCCATTCAACACAGCAGAGCCCGGACGCCCTGTGAGCTGGCGTGGCGGGGGGTGGGGGGCACTGGGCAGCTCCCCGGGTGGGGGTCTCAAGGGGGCGCATGCGGCTGGCTGCCAGTGCCACAGGGCCCACTGCAGGCCTTGGGGCTTAATCTGGAGGGCAGTCGAGGGGTTCCTGGGAGTAGCCTGGGCCCGGCTCTTCCGGACCCCCCTACGCTGGCCCGGGGATCCCCACTCCAGTGTCCCCTTCCAGCCTGGCCGGCCCCCGGCTGCTGCAGCCCCTGTCGCCGCACAGGGGATGGGGCCAGGGCTGCATCCTGTGGGCTGGCGGAGAGCTGGGGCCAGGGGACCCATTGGAGGGGACCTGAAGGCGGCCGTCCGATGCCACAGGGCCCAGGAGTCTCAGGGAGCAGGCACAGCGGGCCAGGGCAGGCGGCGCTGCGGGGACAGGGGGCGGCGTGGGGAGCCCCGAAGCCCCTCCAGGAACGAGAGGGCACCCCCTATGACCTCACAGGGCCAGTTCCACGAGGGCCCGGGATCTGGGCATGTGCAGACCTGCCTGCCCCCACCTGTCCTGCCCCCAGCCCCAGCCCACCGGGTCGCTTCTCCGGCCCTGTGGCCGCACGTGGGAGGCAGGCACCGAGGCCGAGCAAGGGGAAAATCCACCCTCCTTTCGGTTTTTAGAACCCACACCGACTTCAAGCTGATTCTCGCCGCCAAGACATGCTGGTGGGCGGGGCTTCACTAACCAATGAAATCCCCGCGGCAGCCCCTGTGCCGGGACCGTCTGGGAGGGCCGGCCAGGGCCCTCCGAAGGGAGGCTCCCCGTCCAGGGACACGCAGGCGGCCACGGCTGCAGGGTCCCTGCGCCTCCTGGGCCGCTGCTCGCCCTGACGGGCTGGGCTCGCCAAGGGCAGTGCTGTCCGCTGCCCAGGCCCCACGCCCAGGTGGGAGGGGCTCAGGGCGGCAGCACCGTGGCTCCCACGTAAGGTTCCGGGGGCAGAACCCCACGTGCTCCGACCAGCTGCTCTGATCGTGCGACCATCCTCTGGAAGGACGGCCCTGCCCTTAGGTCCCTCCCGGCCTTTGGGTCCCACCCAGCACCTCCTCTTCCCTTCCCTGTCTCCACGCGGCGGCCTCCGTGGGCTGGGCTGGCACTCGCAGGGTCTGTTGGCCCCCACCCCCCGCCATCTCAAGGTGCTCGTGCTGCGTGGCGCCTTCCCTATGGGCTCGCACAGGCAGGATGGGGGTGCAAAGCCCCCAGGGGGACAGTGCTCCAGCCAGCCCTGACGCCTGCCTCCTGTCTCCGTCCTCTGTCCACAGGAACCACGCCCAGCACCAGCCCGCCTGCCCCTGGGGTCTCCGCCTGGACCTCCCCCTCCGCGTCCTGCGGCACCTGCTGCTCCACAGGGCCCCCCAGGGGACCCCACGGGCCCCGCCCAGCTCCATCAAGGAGCCACAGCAGTTGAGACAGGAGGGTCCCGCCCCCTCGACCCCCACCGCCCCCCAGGCCCCCTCTGCTCTCCTGTGGGAACCCGCCCTCGGTGGAGACCCCCTGGCATCAGCTGACGTTGGCCACAAGCCCGGCTGGCCACCCCCTGGAGATGGGACGGACGCTAGCAAACCACGGCCACCGCCGGGCGGCCTGTGACGCACACCAGCCCGGGCACGTGTGCCCCCGGAAAGCCACCCCAGGCCACGGGAAGGGCGGCGTGTGAGAGCGGCCACACAGGGGCACGGGGCACGCACACATGGGAGCCGCACGGGCCGAGGCCGGCGCAGCCCACCTGGAGGCAGGGGGTGGGGGGCGTTTCAGTGCAACCCAGCTCACTCGCTGCCTGTGGTGGCGCAGGGGAGGGGAGGGGAGGGGGGGGAAAGTGACGCAGGTAAATAAAGGTTTCACAGCAGCCCCTCGCCGGTCCGCACAAGCCACGTTTCGGCCTCCGCATGCACCGCTGCGGCGCGGTGCCGGCCTGGGCTCGGCCGGCTCATGCGCCGTCCTCAGGAGGCCGGGTCTGGGCTGAGCGGGGCCTGGCCAGCCCGGGGCCGCGGGTCAGAAGGGAAGCCGAGGGGACAGGGGGCTCCTGAGCTGCAGAAAGGGGGTGGGCGAGGGGAACGCGCATCCTCCCCAACTGGAACCGACACGCAGGACCCGGCTTCGGAACGTTCTCAGGGGGCACTGTTACGGGTGTTTTCTGGGGGGAGCGCTCCCTGCTGCCGGGCCGTGAGCCCCACCTGTGGCCGAGGGGACCAGGTGTGGACGGGCAGCGCTGTGGCCGGGGCTGGAGACCTCATGATGGAAACGGGCAGCAGAGTCCGACGAGCAGGAGGGCCACGCCAGCTGCTGTCAGCGGAGAGCCCGTCACGGGGGCGGGCGGGCGGGGAGGGGCCCGCGTGCCGATGGCAGAGGGCCTGGGGGGGCGGCGGTGTGGGTGCGCGCAGAGCTGCCCTCAGACGTCTGAACTACCGCTCGTGGAACGTGGAACCCGCAGCGTGTCCTGTCCCGCGGCCGTCAGCCGGGGCACCCGTCGCCATGGCGACCGTGAACGGGCAGTCCCGGCCCCTGGAGCGCAGGTCTCCGTGGGGCAGCCCGGGAGCACCAATTAGCAAAACACAAAAACTTGACAAAAATAGATGTTTATTTATCATTACATTTCAAAATCCCCTCCGTGGAACAGTTTAAGAAAACGCAGGCTGCTGCCCGAGTGGAGGGCGCGAGGGCCCCACCCTCCAGGGGTCCGAGGGGGCGGCCGCCCACCCACGAGGTGGCTGGGCACCGCGGCAGGCGTTCGTCTGCGGCGCCCGAGAGGCCTCCTCACGGCTCCTGGCGGGGAGACTCCCCGAAGCGGCCCGCCCGCCGCGCGCCCCTCTGCCGCGCTGAGGACACTGTCACTGCGACCTCGGCGCTGGGACCCGTCCGGCTCGCCGCGGTTGTTTCCTCCGAAGGACGGGGAGCCCCCGAGAGGAGGTGTGGCCCCCCGATGCCCAAAGGGCCCCCAGCCTCCGGGAGGCCGACCGCACACACAGTCCCCAGAGTGCGCTCCCTGGTCCAGTAAACACAGCCGACGTTTGTCGGGAAACCGAGTCAGTGTGCAGGCCCGTCACCGGCACGGGAGCCTCCCGTGGACACCGACCCGGACTCCTGGAGCCCGGCTGGCACTCCTAGAGCGCCGGGGCCGAGGCGGCGATGTCCCTGCAGAGCCTGACGACGGCGTCCCGGCCACGGCTCGGTGAGTCCCCCGCAGCGTCACAGACCATCCGCACGTGGGCGGCGAGGGCGTCCGGCCGCGGGGCCCCCAGCCAGACGTCCTTGATGTACAGCGACAGCAGGAAGGCCGCGGAGGCTGAGGAGAGGGAACAGCAGGGTCATCAGGGGCAGACGCATTCGGTCGCCCGCCACACCTGGGGGGCACGCGTTGCTAACCACCCCATGACCCGCACGCACACCTGCAGCCACCGAGGTGAGCGAGCAGATGAAAGAGATTAATTCTGCCGCTGCTTAACTGCTGGGCGAATCATTTCATCCACTGAAACAGCGTATCCTTGTACTTGGCTACGAGCCCGTCTCCTCTCGGCCTGCACCCCAGCCAGGAGCCACCCCGAGGCTCGAGGAGAGTGCCACGGAGGCACCAGCCACCCCTGCTGCCCGGCTCCGCGGGGAGAGGGCATCTTCCAGGTGGAGACTCCGCCCCCGCCTGCTACCTGAGGAGAGGCCGTCACCCGGCCACCAGGCGCCCACCACCCTCCCCTGCTCCCTGTGTCCCAGTGAGAGGGACCGGCCCCCCGGGGGAGGAAGACCCAGGCAGGTGGCCCCGGCGTTCCCCAGGCCCTCGTTCAGGCTGCCAAGCCCTTGCTGCTCGTGCGTGCCCGCACCCAAGCCCGGGTCAGGCTCCTGCTGACCGCTGAGCACACGCTGGGTGCCTCTGCACTGTGTGCACATATGCACACGCCTGTACACGTGAGCGTCTGGCCAGTGTGCAATGGAAACAGTGGACACTTAGGAGAGCCACTGGTCTGCAGAGAGGGACAGTCCCCCGAGGGACACGAGGCTCTGGTCCTCCTCCACTGTGAGATGACCGTCACTGAAGGCCCCGCCCCTCACCCTCAGGGCCTGGGGGTGGCTGTCCTTGGTCCCCACAGCTGTGCTGAGGGCCACCCCCATCCCCACCCGTCGGACCCGCCAGCAGGTCACCTCGCGTGGCTTCATCCTTGTCGTCCAGAGAAGACAGGCGGAGGGTCTCGACTGCCGGGGGCAGGGGCGTCCCCACAGGGCGCAGGGCCGCCACCAGCTGCAGCATGACCGCGTTGATCTGGCAGGCCACGCTCGGCTCGGGGTCCCCCAGCCCCTCCGCGCCCCAGAGCCGGCTGTACAGCCTGAACACGCTGCTCTTCACCGCACTGTCTGTGAGCAGGTCGGCCACGAGCGGCGGCTGCGGCACAACGTAGCTCTGAAGCCAGCGGAAGAGTCCGGCAGTCTCGGCCTCACTCAGCGGGTGCTCAGCCGCTGCCCGCAGCACCCAGCTGACCACCAGGGAGGCGATGGCGTACGCAGGGCCCGTGGCGGGGCTCTGGGGGGAGGTCTGGTCCCCGGGGTCCGGAGTGGGATCAGGACTGGGGAACACTGGGCCCCAGTGGGTCAGGATGGACCTCAGGAGGCCCTTGCACGTCTCCAGGCCGGACGCCTGCAGCTCAAGGGCGGCCTCCTCCGCCGGCTCCTCCGCCTCCCCGGGCCTCCTCTTCCAGCTCCGAGGGCCCCTGGCTCGGGCGGGCGCGGCAGGCTTGTGCTTGTCCTTGAGCATCTCTGTTGCAGAGAGAAGACGGAGTGAGGCCGGTGCCCCCTCAGATGGGCGGTGGGCGTGTGGTGGAGGGACGGGGGGGCACCCACAGGCACCGAGGGGGTCGGCTCTGCCCCGCAGGACGGGCTGCCCCGCCCGGCGCACAGCGGCTGGGTGGTGTCGGGCCGGGGTGGCGTCACTGCCGGGACAGGCGAGCGCCCCGACGGGGCCGAGCAGACACAAAGCCCTGCTTTCCCAGGTCCCCTCAGTGACAGTGACAGCCAGGCCGTCCCTAAGCGTCTGCTGTGGGAATGCTGCCCAGGGCGGGCACAGCGCGGGACACCCTGGGGGACACGCAGAGTGGGGACACGAGACCAGGGTGGGGGGGCCCCGCACGCACTCAGCAGCTCCCTGACGTGGAATTTCTCCGCGGCGGCTCCCAGGGCCTCCTGCAGCGCGGCATCCCCCCCGAGGAGGCTCCACTTGTGCAGGAGCAGGAGGGCGTCCCTGGTGGACAGCGCCGTCTCGTTCACGGTGAGGCGGCCCAGGTCCCTGAAGGCCTGCACGACAGTGGCCCGGTACCTCAGCACGGAGTCCAGCGCCCCGAAGAAGCTGGCCAGCGGGGTGGGGGCCAGGCCGGGCCTGTTGGGGGAAGGGTACTGGCTGAGCGGCGTGGCCCCTGGCGGCCCCTGGCCCTGCGGCCCCGGATGGGGCCGGCGGGGGCCGGAGTGAAGGCTGCAGAGTGGGGTGCGTGCACAGGCCCCCACAGGCTGGCCCTGCACAGCAGACGTGAGGGGATCCAGTCTGACTCCGCCCTGGGGCGCAGGTGTGTCTGGAGACCACGACCGACGGACAGACGGACAGTGGGGCAGAGCGCCTGAGGGCTGGGCGCCAGCCGCCGAACAGACACGCCTGAGCCCGCTCCCGCCTCCCTCGCTGAGGCTGAGCGGGAGGCCCCGGGGAGCCCGGGCCAGCAGGGCCCAGGACCGGGCCTGGAGCTGGCCGCCGGGGGCACCGTCCCTGCCACCTGCGAGGACTCAATGCCGTCCGCTCCCCGCTGTCTGAAGCCTGTGGCCACTGTGGGAGCAGCAGCCGGTGCTCGGAGACCGAGTGCCCTCGTCGGCCCCCACGAGCGGCCGCGCTCGGCACCCAGGGCGTGGGTGACTTCAGAGCGGCAAGAACCCGCCCGGCTTTCCCCGGGGCAGCGCCCACGTGGAGACGCCGTGCGCCCGCAGCCGGCCTCCCGGGTCCAGCCAGCAGAGCGGAGGTGCAAGGGCACGCAGGGCGGAGGTGCGAGGAGAGCGGGGCCCGCCCATGGACATCACGAGCGTTCCAAGGGCTCCGGCGAAACTGCTCAGGGACTCAGGAAAATTCACGGGTGAGGAGCCTGAGCAGGCGGGGCCTCGAGGAGAGCACGGTTTTCCTGCAACCACCACCCCCTGGAGTGCCGAGACGGTGGTCGCCAGCTAGCAAGCCGGCAGAACGCGGTTCGTTGGGTCTTCGGACCTGGGCCGGAGCCCGGGGGAGGGGACTTGGAAGAGAGGAGACAGCCAGAACGGGGTTTCCCGATGCCACCCACAGGGGGCTGCAGCTTCGGCCCAGAGCCCACCGGCAGGGACTGGGCCAGGAGGCCAGTGGGAGGTGACAACCCTTAGACCTAGCTCCGGGCCTCGGGGGAGGGGCCTACCTCAGATGCTTCGCGAGCGCAGTGAGGACGTAGAGGAACTCGTTGACCACATGCAGGGCCAGCAGCTTCCGGGGCTCCTGGGAGCCAGGTGGGCCCGGCGGCCGGCTGCCCAGCTCGGCCCCCTTGTCCCCGAGGTTGGTCGCCCACAGGGTGTGCAGCAGGCTGATGACGCTGGAGAGCAGCGGGGTC